TGAAAAAACTACCCGTCCAAGGAACTAAATTGGTGTCCCAATCTACTTGTCCTGATAATTTTTTTCTTTTTAATCAACACGGTATTTAAATTGAAGGTGATATTAGGAAAGTTTTAAAAACAAAAGGGGCTTTATGGCGACTTAAACGTGTAATATTTTTAACATTGTATTTATATTGTAAAGCGCTGAGCAAACTGTTGGCGCTATATAAATCCTGTATAGTAATAATATAAATCCTGTATAGTAATAATAATATAATAATAATACTAACATTGCGCTGTTTATCTCCTCCTCCCCTCCCTGCTTGTCTCCAGCACCGCACCCGGGGACTAGCAGGGAACAGAGTGTAATGAGCACCGGTTGGCTGCACGTCAGGAAAGGGGAGTGTCGGGCTTATCCTGTATCCCTTTCGCTGCCAGAGCTGTTTTTGCGTTTTTTAAAAAAAAGATTAAAAAAATCATTTTAGGCCTGAAGATTACACAAAACCCCCAAACGATATATTTTCGTCAGAGACCCTAGAGAATAAAATAGTGGTAGTTCCAGTATTTTATGTCGCATGATATTACCACAAAAATTTCTGTAAAAAACTTTAGGGCAAAAAAAAAAAAAAAAAAAAAAAATTACCCTTTTTTTGGTAAAATATAAAAGATGAGGTTGCAGCGAGGAACTAGATATCCAACTTGTCAAACCTTAAATTTGCGTGCGCTCGTGAAATGGTGGCGAACTTCAGTACCCCATATTTATTATAGGTAACGCTTTTAAAGCCCCTTCTAGGTCATCAGTACAGTGTTACGGAGGAGGTCTGGTGCTAGAATTATTGCTCTCATCCTGGCCTGTGCGGCGATATGTGACGTGTATCGCAATTGATGTTTTCATGTGAGCCGCCCCAGCGTGTGCTTTTACGTTTCTATGTGCATACAGTTAGAGCCATATTTATTTGGACACAATTACAATTTTAGTTTTTTTCAGGTATGTACCAAATCATAGTCAAGCTATAGTTCTATAATGGATATGGACTGACAGTGCACACTCTCAGGTTTAATTTGAGGGTATGTACATCCAATTTGGAGGAAGGGTTTAGGAATTACAGCTCTTAAGAGTAGCCATCCCCCCTTTTTCAAGGGACCAAAAATAATCGGACAATTGAATATAAATATAAATAAAATGTTCATTTGTAATATTTTGTTGAGAATCCTTTACTGGCAATGACTGCCTGACGTCTGCAACCCCTGGACATGACCAAAGACTGGGTTTCCTCCTTTCTGATGCTTTGCCTGAAGTCTGGAACCCATGGACTTCCCAAAGACTGGGTTTCCTCCTTTCTGATGCTTTGCCAGGCTCTGACTGCAGCTCAAGGGGCTCTTTTTTTTTGGGGGGGGGGGGGGATGTTATGTACCTGGGTGTAACTTTCATTTTTTACAATTAAAACAACAACTTTTTTTTCTTTTTTTACTTACATTTTTTTTTTAAACACATAGGGGACAATGTTCCCTATGTGATGATTTTTTGGTGACAGGTTCTCTTTCTTGAGACATCCAAGGTCTAAAAGCCCCTGAATGTCCCCCCTGTGCTCCCCTGAATGTAATGCAGTGCACATCACACTGCATTACATTTTTTCTTGGCCTCAATTGCTGGGAATCTCACAGAGACCTGGAAGTGATATCATAACATCACCTCCGGGTCAGGACAAGAAGGGGAGGAGAGTGGACGTGTCCAACCTCCTCCCTCCCCTCTAGCCGACAGCAGTGAGCCCAGTCCCAGGCCCACAGATGGCCAAGCGGAGCCTAGGAGACAGGGAGCTTCAAACGGGGGGATTGGCAGTGAGGCTGATACTCTGTAGAAGCCGCCCGAATACTTCCACCTGACAGGTGAGCCCTGCTGCTTGCCTGCAGCAGGGCTAAATATATAAAAAAAAAAAAAATACTTTACACTTGACACAATGCAGTCAGGCAAGTACCGTTCTCCTGGCAAGCACCAACCCTGACATGTCCATCAGGTTGCCAGACAGGAAGTGTGATTTGTCACTCCAGAGAACACGTCTCCACTGCTCTAGATTCTAGTGGCGGCGTTCTTTACACCACTGCCTCTGACGATTTGCATTGCACTTGGTGGCTCTGTCATTTTACGTGGCCTGCCACTTGGTGGTTGAGTTGCTGTTGTTCCCAGTGGCTTCCATTTTGTTATAATCCCACTAACAGTTGAACGTGGAATATTTAGTAGCCAGGAAATGTCACGGATGGACTTACTGCACAGGTGACAACCTATCACGGGACCACGCTTGGAGTCACTGAGCTCCTGAGAGCGACTCATTTCACAAATGTTTGTAGAAGCAGTCTGCATGCCTAGGGGCTTGATTGTATACACCTGTGGCCATGGAGGGGATTTGAACACGTGAATCCAATGGTTTGGAGAGCGGGCTCAATACTTTTGGCAATAAAAATAATTAAAGGAACACTTTGAAAACCCATCAGATCTCAATGGGTAAAAATATCATGCTGGATCTCTATACTGATATGGACGGGGTAATGTGTTAGGAACGTAAGGATGCCCCATTATTTGATGGACTGAATTCAAAGACACCCTGAAAATCAAAGTGAAAAAATCATGCAGCAGGCGAGTCCATTTTGCTGAAATTTCATTACAGCAACTCAGAATGGTCTTCAGTAATTTGTATGGCCCCCACGTGCTTGTATGCATGCCTGACGTCAGGGGATGCTCCTAAAGAGATGACGGTTGGTGTCCTGGGGAGATCTCCTCCCGGATCTGGACCAGGGCATCACTGAGCTAAAACAGTCTGAGGTGCAACCTGGCGGTGGCGGATGGACCGAAACATGACATCCCAGAGGTGTTCTATTGGATTTAGGTCAGGCGAGCGTTTTGGGGCCGTTCAATGGTATCAATTCCTTCATCCTCCAGGAACTGCCTGCACACTACTCTCACATGAGGCTGGGCATTGTCATGCACCAGGAGGAACCCAGGACCCCACTGCACCAGCGTTGGGTCTGACAATGGGTCCTAAGATTTCATCCCGATACCTAATGGCAGTCAGGGTGCCATTGTCTAGCCCAGCAATGGGCAAACTACGGCCCGGCGGACCTTTTAATCGGCCCGCGGAGCTAGGCTCCCGCTAGGCTCCTCTCACAGTCCGCCCTGAAGATCTGTCCCCCCTCGACGTATCTGGCATGTGCCGGAGATCGCCGATCGGGCTAATGCCTGAAACTGGCACATGCGCAGATACGTCGAGGGGGGATGATCCTCATAGGAGACAGATTTTCCGGAGCGGCGCCGAGAGGAACGCGCGGAGCAAAGGTAAGTGAATTTAGGTCACGGGCGAGCATATGGGGGATGAATTACTATATGGGGGGATGAATTACTATATGGGGGATGAATTCTATATGGGGGATGAATTACTATATGGGGGTTGAATTACTATGGGGGAATTACTATAGGGGGGATGAATTACTATAGGGGGGATGAATTACTATATGGGGGATGAATTACTACCCTATATGGGGGATTAATTACTATATGGGGGATTACCCATGGGGGATTAATCCACTATAGGGGGGATGAATTACTATATGGGGGATGAATTACTATGGGGGATGGTACTGATGGGGGATTAATTACTATGCTTACTATGGGGGAATATTACTATACTTACCTATGGATGACCATACAATCATTCATGTACTCTTGGTCCGGCCCCCGGGTCCAATATATGAACCCATGTGCGGCCCTCAAGTCAAAAAGTTTGCCCACCCCTGGTCTAGCCTGTAGAGGTCTGTGCGTCCTCCATGGATATGCCTCCCCAGACCTTCACTGACCCACCACCAGAACGGTCATGCTGAATGATGTTACAGCAGCAGCACGTTCTCCACGACTTCTCCAGACCCTTTCACGTCTGTCACATGTGCTCAGGGTGAACCTGCTCTCATCTGTGAAAAGCACAGGGCACCAGTCGCGGACCTGCCAATTCTGGTGTTCAATGGCAAATGCCAATCAAGCTCTATGGTGCCGGGCAGTGAGTACAGGGCCCGCTAGAGGACGTCGGGCCCTCAGGCCACTCTCATGAAGTCTGTTTCTGATTGTTTGGTCAGACATTCACACCAGTGGCCTGCTGGAGGTCATTTTGTAGGGCTCTGGCAGTGTTCATCCTGTTCCTCCTTGCACAAAGGAGCAGATACCGGTCCTGCTGATGGGTTAAGGACCTTCTACAGCCATGTCCAGCTCTCCTAGAGTAACTGCCTGTCTCCTGGAATCTCCTCCATGCTCTTGGACTGTACTGGGAGACACAGCAAACCTTCTGGCAATGGCACGTATTAATGTGCCATTCTGGGGGAATTGAACTGCCTGTGTAACCTCTGTAGGGTCCAGGTATGGCCTCATGCTACCAGTAGTGATACTGACCCTACCTAAATGCAAAACTAGTGAAAAAACAGTCAGAGAAGATGTTTTTTTTTGTTTTGGGGGTCGTCTCATTGTTGCCCATATAGTGCACCTGTTGTTAAGTTCATTAACACCAAAGCAGCTGAAACTGTTTAACAACCCCCTCTGCTACTTAACCCCTGGTTCACATATCCGCGTTCCTGCGGGCCACGTTTTGTGCAGGCACAAGAGCATATTCATTTGAATAGACTCCAGTACCCCGGGACACGCAGGGAGAAGTCCCTGCACTTCTGAAAACGCAGCCCGCATGGGAACCTCGGTTCCCAGCACAGTTGCGATTTCCAGTGCGGGCGGCGTGCCATTAAAATTAATGGCACCTGCCCACGGGTCTACATTCTTCTGTGCGGGTGGTGCGGCTGCACGGATGTTTGTGTGGATCCGCAGCGGCACCACACCTGCAAAGATGTGAACATATATAGTTTGCTTTTAAGGGTCACCTTATTCCATAAAAAGAAAAACCCCCTTCACAACGAAAGGCAAGCTGGAGACAGTAAGTTTGTATATTATTCTTAGATAAAGAGTAAGTCCCTCACATGTCCACAAATTCTTACCTTGCGCCTGCATACGTGTCCTGACCAGGGCCAATGGATAACTGGCAATTTGCCCACACGTGCTGGATACAGTCCCACAAGCCAACAGTACCAGTACTCCCGGATCAGCGCTGGTGCTAGCTCTGTACCTCTGTAACCATGTGTTCTTCAGCGTCTGTGATGGGGGAAAAAATAAAATTGCACATTATGACAAAGGAAATTGAATTTTTAAAGTGGTTCTAAAGGCAAAAGTTTTTTTTTCACCTTAAAGTGTGAGTGACACTGACATTGATGTCACATGGGGTGGGGACACATGCGTGATGTCCCCAGGTGGCCCCGCCCCTTACTTACGAACTGTCAAACCACTGGGAGCAGGCCGACTGCGGGGGGCCATCGGCGGAAGCATCGTGATTGATGTTGGATCTACTGCGGGGGACATTTCTTTTAGTTTTTTCTTTTAATGAAGGACTTGTCAAAGACAGTGTCCTGTCTTCTTTTTCAACACTAAACTTTTTGTTTTTTTGTGAATGAGTATCGGGACCATGTACCCCATTCTCATTCACATTGGGGGGGGGGGGGCAGGGATTCCAGATTTCGATAAGCCCCCTGCCTACAGACCCCCACAACCACCGGCCAGGGTTGTGTGGAAGAGGCCCTTGTCCCCATCAAAGCACCTCCCTATGTTGAGAGGGCATGTGGGCTGGTATGGTACTCTGAGCTATAGTGAAAAAAAAAAAAAAAAGCAGTTATTACATTTAAAAACTGGCACCATGATAAAGAAACGGCACGGGGTCCTCCCTCCCATCCATACCAAGCCCTTTCGGTCTAGTATGGATTTTGAGGGGAACTCCCACGCCAAAATTTTGAGCAAGCACCCCCCCCCCCCCCCTTTCCTGACCTGCCGGGCTGCATGCTCGGATAAGGGTCTGGTATGGATTTTGGGGGGGACCCCCACACCATTTTTTTTCATTTTGGCGTGGGAGTTCCCCTCAAAATCCATACCAGACCCAAAGAGCTTGGTATGGATGGGAGGGGGGACCCCATGCCATTTTTTATTTATTATGGAGCCAGTTTTAAAATGTAATTACCGCTTTTTTTTTTCTTCACTACAGCTCAGAGATTCAGCTGTCACTTTCCCCAGCTAAAAGAAAGAAAGATTCCTTTTAGTTTATTTCCCCAAGCTAAAAGAAACAAAGCTTCCTTTAACTCCGGGGAAAGTGACAGCTAATTCTGTGAGCTATAGTGAAGAAAAAAAAAAACAAAAAAAAGCCGGCAATTGCATTTAAAAATCGGCATCGACATGCACTTCGTACTGCGAAAAAAATTCCTAAACCGAGGCATTATTTTCAATGGATTTTCATTCGTAAACCGAAAATTACCTTAACCGAGACGTTTGTAAACCAAGGTACACCTGTACCACTATTTTATTCTCTGGGGTCTCTGCTTTCAGAAAGTAAATAATGTTGGGGGTTTTGTGTAATCTTCAGGCCTAAAATTATTTTTTAAAATTTTGTTCAAAAAAAGCAAAAACGGCTCTGGCAGCAAAAGGGATAAAGAATAAGCCTGACACGCCCCTTTCCTGAGGAGCAGCCAATTCGGTGCTCATTACACTGCAAGGTCTCTCTTCTCCCTGCTAGTCCCCGGGTGCGGTGGGGTTTTATCTGGACAAGTAGATGGTCATGAGGGACAAGTAGATTGGGGCACCGATTTAGTCCCTGGACAAGTAGTTTTTTCAAAAAAATTTCCACGCCCCTGTGTGCATTTATTATTTTTTGTTTTGGGAGCCTGCAGACCTGTCACTGTTTCTTGCTCGTACCTCGTATGGGGAAGCAGATACTTACTGACAGGAAGACTCAATGAACTACCACAGAGCTCACAGCACCGTGGTAATTCATTGAGAACTACAAGCTGACAGCTGCAAAGGCTGCTGGGACTTGTAGTTTTGTCATTCACAGAACACTGTGAATGAGTGTCGCGGCCATGACAGCTAGCAGGAAGAGAAGATCCCCCACTAGTTGTCACAACAGGGGATCGGGGACTGTGGAGGCTGGTGCATTAGTAACATTTTACATGTTACACCCTAAATATGGGTGTAACATGTAACATGTTGTGAAATCTGACCTTATCCTTTAAAAGTAGAAAGCTTTCTCTGTGCTGCACCCACCACAGCCCCCCCCCCCTCTCTAATAAGTGCCGGAGCCCAATCTCAATCCAGCGTTGTGCATGAGAGTAGAGGCTGTGTCCGCTCTCTCCCTCCTCAGCCAACGAAGGAGAGCCAGCCAGAAACAGGAAGCCAAGCCGCGCTGCGTGTGTCAACAGACACACAGAGCTGGGCTTGGGAGAGAGCATGCAAGAGCGTACCCATAGCAAGAGGCTTGTTATGGGGGCACTCAGCAGGAGGAAGGAGCCAGGAGCGCTGGCAGGTGACTCGAGAAGGAGGACCAGGGCTGCTCTGTGCAAAACCACTGCACAGAGCAGGCAAGTATGACATGTTTGTTATTAAAAAAAAAAAAAAAAAAACTTTAGTATCACTTTAAGACTGTGGAGGAAAGTATTTGATGATGCCGGGAAGTCCTTAAGCCAGAAAATGAGGTACAGTCTGATTGCTATGGTTTCTAACATACACTGTGAGATGCTCACAGTGTGTAGTCAAAGCAATTTTCCTACATGAGAGGAGTCTGTGCAGTTTTTCATGACTTAACGTGTTCTAAAGGCTGAAGGTTTGTTACCTTCATACATTCTATGCATCACAGTAAAAACCTTCTGTGTTATAAGGTTCAACGTTATTTATTTATTTCAGGTACTTATACAGCGCCATCAATTTACACAGCACTTTACATATATATTGTACATTCACATCAGTCCCTAACCCTCAAGGGGTGTACAATCTAAGGTCCCTAACTCACATTCATACATACACATACTAGGGACAATTTAGACAGGAGCCAATTCACCTACCAGCATGTCTTTGGAGTGTGGGAGGAAACCGGAGTACCCAGAGGAAACCCACACAGGCACAGGGAGAACATGCAAACTCCAGGCAGGTGGTGCCGTGGTTGGGATACGAACCAACGACCTTAGTACTGCCAGGCGGAAGGGCTAACCATTTAGCCACTGTGCTGCCCATGTGATTACATATTATAACATTGTGTGGCGTGATTGCGCAGGTAAACACAAAGTCAGCGTATTCTATATTTTGATGATACAACCCTGCAAGACAATCTAGTATGTGTTTAATCTGTAGCTGTGAATGTGGCTGTTGTCCTTGTATGTTCTTTTTCTACTTTTTTTCTGACTGTTTTTGATTTTTACTTTTGCATGCGTTTTTGTACAAGAACTGCTATTTTGAAAATGGAAACTTGTTGGTTTTTCCAATAAAAAACTATCTGATTTAAAAAAAAAAAACAAACAAAAAACACAAACCTATGTGCACCAGCCCCCTCCCCAATACTTGCCTGATCCCTATCGAGGTCCATCGATCTGCCTCCTCACTGGCAGAGACAGCAAGTGGGAGCCATTGCGGTCAATCACAGCCATTCATCCAATGAGGGGGGGGGGGGGGGGCACTGGGCCAAGTTGTGGTTTGGTGTGTGAATTGACAGACAAAGTAGAGGGTGCCCCCATAGCAAGCTGCTTGCTATGGGGGCACCCGACAGAAAGGAAGAGCCAGGAGAGCCTGTGGGGGACCCGAGAAGAGGAGGATCAGGGCTGCTCTGTGCAAAACCACTGCACACAGCAACAAGTCAATCACAGCCATTCAGCCAATGGGGAAAGGAGGTTATTGGGCCAAGCTGCATTTTGGTGTGTGAATGGACACACGGAGTAGCAGGTGCCCTCATAGCAAGCTGCTTGCTGTCGGCGCACCCGACAGAAAAGGAGGAACCAGGAGAGCCTGCGGGGGACCCGAGAAGAGGATCAGGGCTGCTCTGTGCAAAATCACTGCACACAGCAACGAGTCAATCACAACCATTCAGCCAATGAGGAGAGGAGGGGCGCTGGGCCAAGTTGTGGTTTGGTGTGTGAATGGGCACACGGAGTAGAGGGTGCCCCCATACCAAGCTGCTTGCTATGAGGGCACCCGACAGAAAGGAGGAGTCAGGAGAGCCTGCAGGGGACCCAAGAAGAGGAGGATCAGGGCTGCTCTGTGCAAAACCACTGTACACAGCAACAACTCAATCACAACCATTCAGCCAATGAGGAGAGGGGCTACTGGGCCAAGCTGCGGTTTGGTGCGTGTGAATGGACAGACAGAGAGTAGCGGGTGCCCCATAGCAAGCTGCTTGCTGTGGGGGCACCCAACAGAAAAGAGGAACCAGGAGAGCCTGCGGGGGACCCAAGAAGAGGAGAATCAGGGCTGCTCTGTCCAAAACCACTGCACCCAGCAGCTAAGTATAGACATGTTTATTTAAAAAAAATAAATGAATGTTTAGTATTGCTTTAAGAGAAGGATGATGTGTAGCTTTAAACCTACCTCATACACGGCCAAATCAATGCCCGCATACGGCACGATACCCAGCAGGTTTGGTAGGTAGCCCTTAGAGAACGCTCTCACCCCTTCAGTACGCAGGATATGTCGCGCGCAATCTGTCATCCCAGAGAACTGCCCAGTGCACCGGAGAGCCAACCGAGTCTTCAATACCTGGGAGATATGCAAAGGGTAATTACTGACATACTACTGAACCAATGCACATATATATTAGAGTCGGGGAAAATTTGGTGCATGCATACAACATGTGTGGGTGGAGGTGCCTTTAAATTTACTTTTTAAAACACCATCCCCAATTATAAAACAATTTTATATATACGCTCTTCCAAAATAAAACGGGGAAGAGTTTAAGCAAATGGGACTTTAAGCCCGGGTTCACACCAGGGGCGGACTGACCATTTGGAAACTCGGGCACTGCTGAGGGCCTGGGGTCAGTAGGGGGCCCCATGAGATGCCCCTGGTACCTTTTTCATAGGATTTTTTGAGTTTGGGCAAGGACACAGGGGCCCCATGATTCCCTATTGCCCGGGGGCCCCATGAGTTGTCAGTCCGCCCCTGGTTCACACTACAGCTGTGCGGTAAATCCCTTGGGATTCGCACAGGAACCGCACCACAATCCTGTACAAATCACGTGATTTGTATGCAGTGCGGTTAGAGCCGTACATTTCGATGGCTCGATTCGCACCACACCCAAATCGTGCAGGACCCTTTTTTTGAGTCCGCACTAGAATCGGATTGCATGGGGTTTCACACCTATGCGATCCAATTCTGTACAACGCACCACCTTTTGCGGACCGATGTCGGGGTGTTGTTAAATTAACATGCACACCCGCATCGGTTCGTATGAATGAGGTGAGATTATGATGCGGTGTGGAATTCGCGCTGAAAAACGCTGCGAATTCTGCACCGCATCAGTGTGAACCAGGGCTTAAATGTGCCCTCATAGGAATACATAAATACAAACAGGTAAAAAACAAAAATCGTTATTACAATGGTTAAGGCTAGGTTCACACCTATGCAGTTTGCGTTTGATCCGATTTTTTGCGGTGAGTTTTGCGGTTTTTGCACATGCATTTCTGATGCATTTTTGGTGTGTTTATTTATTTATTGGCCAGCTTGTTGCTGGGCAGATTAAAAAATGCAAAACGCATCAAAACTGCGCCAAAAAACACACGCAAATGCAGAACATGTGTTTTATATGCAGTTCCATTGAAGACTATTGGACTAAAAACGCAAACTGAGGCGGGAAAAAAAAAAAAAGGAAAAAAAAAAAAAAAAATTCCTGACCCTTTCCAAAACACGCGCCCGCAAAAACTGCATAGATGTGAACGTGATCCATAAGAAATCATGATAAGGGGCATGCACTGCGTTCCTGTAAAACGCTTGAAAAAAACGCACAGGTGTGAAGCTGGCCTAAAACACATTAAAAGACTGCACCCCAATGTACATCAATTGCCATGTTAACATTACATGCATAATGGTATAGGTTATTTAGGTACAAATAAAAATGAGTGTAGAGGATCAACGCATTTCGCAGTACAATTGCTTCCTCGGGATTGACACCTACATTTTGAAGATCAACATAGCTAAACAAAAAAACAACAATCACATAATAACAACAAAAGAACAAAAATTTACTATATACAAAAACGTATAGCCACTGGTATGTGGCAATGGATGCTGAGAAAAGGGAAAGGACAATAAATAAATGAATAAATACATATCCTGCTCAGAGCCACTACAGCCTGTGCTTTACCAAAAAAAAAAAAAAAGTTGTACTTGTTTACCCGCCTAGCTAATCCCCCTCCCGCCATATAAGGGAATGATGGGCACAAGGTGGTTCTCTCGTTCTGGGAGGACGTCATATGACGTCCTCCCATTCTAAGCGCGCGCATGCGCGGCTCCGGGAGCACGCAGCGTGGAGATCGGTGGTGCGTTGTGTCCCTCGGACACAGCAGATCACCGATCAACGGAAACAGGAGAAGATATTGGCTCGGTCATGTGATCAGCTGTGTCCAATCACAGCTGATCACATGTAAACAGGGAAATGCCAGTTATCTGCATTTCTGTCCTCTCGAGCCGTCACGCTGACAGAGGAGAGGAGAGCCGGTAATCGGCATTCCTCGGAGGGGACATGTACACTGATCAGCAGTGCCACCTGCCAGTGCCCATCAGTGCCACATCAATGCCACATATCAGTGCCGCCTAACAGTGCGCGTCAGTGCCGCCTAACAGTGCGCGTCAGTGCCGCCTAACAGTGCGCGTCAGTGCCGCCTAACAGTGCGCGTCAGTGCCGCGTCAGTGCCGCCTAACAGTGCCTACCAGTGCACTACAATGCCACATATCAGTGCGAGTCAGTGCGCCTAACAATGCCCATCAGTGCCACCTACCAGTGCCTCCTCATAAGTGCCCATTAGTGCCACCTACCAGTGCCCATCAGTGCAGCCTCATTAGCGCACATCAGTGAAGGAGAAAAATCACTTATTTACAAAAATTTAACAAAAACTAAGAAAACTTTTTTTTTTCAAAATTTTCAGTGGTTTTTGGTTTATTTAGCAAAAAAATGAAAAACCCCGAGGTGATTAAATACCACTAAAAGAAAGCGCTGTCTCAAAAAAAATGATAAAAATTTCACAGAGGTACAATGTTGCATGACCACGCAATTGTCATTCAAAGTGCAACAGTGCATCCACTGCTCTAATGACACCATCAAAACAACCCTACTGGCACCATCCACAGCCCTACTGACACTGACATCATTCATCACTCGACTGACACCATCGACTGCTCTAATGACACCATCCACAACCCTACTAGCACTGTCCACAGCCCTACGGACATCGTCCACTGCCATACTAAACACCAGCCTCTGTCCTGCAGACACATCCACTGCTCTATTGCCCTACTGACACCATCCACTGTCCTACTACTGACACTGTTGACTACCCTATTGACATTGTCCACTGCTCTACTGACTCCATACACAACCCTACTGACACCATCCACAGCTGTAATGACACTGACGCCATTCATCACTCGACCGACGCCGTCCACTGGCCTACCGACGCCGTCCACTGGCCTACCGACGCCGTCCACTGGCCTACCGACGCCGTCCACTGGCCTACCGACGCCGTCCTCTTTCAAGGTAGGCTACGTGTCTAATTTTGCAGCGACATTTGTTATTTGTTTTATTATATTATTCTTACTATTAAGAAAAATGGGCATCGAACCCCAGTGATTTATTTCATGTTGTTCGGGAAGATCTGCACATCTGAAAGGTTGTCTACCCCTGGCGTACACAATATATGTTTTTGGTCTAAATATTTATATATACTTTAACTGTAACAAAAGAAGTGGTGACAAGATGTGGCGTGGACTAAAATGCAAATGGTTTGCTTCACAGCTGAATTCCAGGGAAAGTAAAAAAAGGTTAAATTGTCATCTCAATCTAGGGGACTGCAAAAAGCAGTTTTACCGACCTGATCCTGCACCCCCTCCAGGCTATAAGACCAGTCCCTGCAGCCTATTCTCCCCTATGCTCCAGCAGTCACAGGTCATCGATATTACAATACGTTCAATGCAGGGTACCTAGCTCTGCATTGGACTATAGGACGCTACAGGACAGTCCATTGCCAGAACAAAAGGAAGAATAGGCGAGTGCCTGCTTTTTTTTTTTTTTTTTTTTAAGCAATTATTCCTTGTAGTGCACAGGGAGCGCCATTGCAAGGGAGGATATTTCTTTCCCAAGCAGATGGGCTTTAGGAAAATCCATAGTGCTCTGTGTGTCCTGTGCTATCAAAATCAGTTTACAAAAGATATATATATTGAGCAGCACAGTGGCTAAGTGGTTAGCACTTCCGTCTGGCAGTACTAGGGGCGTTGGTTCAAATCCCAGCCATGGCACCACCTGCCTGGAGTTTGCATGTTCTCCCTGTGCCTGTGTGGGTTTCCTCCAGGTACTCCGGTTTCCTCCCACACTCCAAAGACATGCTGGTAGGTTGAATTGGCTCCTGTCTAAATTGTCCCTAGTATGTGTATGTATGAATGCGAGTTAGGGACCTTAGATTGTACACCCCTTGAGGGTTAGGGACTGATGTGAATGTACAATATATATGTAAAGCGCTGTGTAAATTGACGGCGCTATATAAGTACCTGAAATAAATAAAAAAAACAAACAAAAAAGAAAAAATCACAACAAACTGATCCTAAACCATAGTTGCCATATGTCTGACAACCACAAATCTCTATATGGAACACCCTGATGACATCATATCTTCTCTCTGGGTCCTCACCTCCATAGGATATATGACAGTCTGCGCGATGGCTCCGGCCAACGACCCAGCAATGAACCTCTCCCGGACCCTCAGCGTTTCCTGCTGACCCCGGATGACCTTCTTTATCTGGACAGGAAAATCAGGCTGGTTAGTTCTTACATTCTTTTAAAAGTAATCATCCTCATCAGAACATATTTTACATTTTTGTAGACTCTCTGTGCCGGAAACCAGTCTAAAAAAAAGCATTTCCCTAAATGACCAATCCAAAGCCTTAAAGAGACCCCGTCACTATGCCCGTCCAGAGTACAAATGGAATATCTGTGTAAGGGGGCACCCCAGCCCACTGATAGCACCCTGGCAGCACTTCCTTCAGTTGTAGCTGTCAACAATACCCGATGTTTCCAGGTGGCCTCCTCCCATGTGCAAGTGCTTGGGTCTGGCAATCAATCACTAGGCCTGAGCACTGTCACATGACAGAGGAAGTGATGTCACCGATCCACTTAGTGTCCGACGGTAGTTAAAGTTTTACTAAACCCTGGAACCTACATTCACCACATCCGCTCTCCCCCGGACCCTGCATTCACCACATCCAGTCTCCCCGGACCCTGCATTCACCACATCCAGTCTCCCCGGACCCTGCATTCACCACATCCAGTCTCCCCGGACCCTGCATTCACCACATCCAGTCTCCCCGGACCCTGCATTCACCACATCCAGTCTCCCCGGACCCTGCATTCACCACATCCAGTCTCCCCGGACCCTGCATTCACCACATCCAGTCTCCCCGGACCCTGCATTCACCACATCCAGTCTCCCCGGTAAACCCTGCATTCACCACATCCAGTCTAGCCCCGGACCCTGCATTCACGCCGGGGATGGAACGTAGGAGAAACACGTGCCTGGGGATGGACACGTAGGAGAACACGCCGGGGATGGACACAGGGGTAGGAGAACACGCCGGGGATGGACACGTAGGAGAACAAAAAAATTTTATGGGGGGGGTCCAAAAATGGACACGTAGAGAAACACGCGCCGGGGATGGACACGTAGGAGAACACGCCGGGGATGGACACGTAGGAGAACACGCCGGGGATGGACACGTAGGATAACAGAACACGCCGGGGATGGACACGTAGGAGAACACGCCGGGGATGGACACGTAGGAGAACACGCCGGGGATGGACACGTAGGAGAACACGCCGGGGATGGACGGGAATGGACACGTAGGAGAAACACGCCGGGGATGGACACGTAGGAGAACACGCCGGGGATGGACACGTAGGAGAACACGCCGGGGATGGACACGTAGGAGAACACACAGTTTACTGGCTGTAGGTAGGAAAAAACGTCAAAAGCCAAAAAACAGCCGCTGTAAAAAAAACGTCCCGTGTGCAGGAGGGCTTAGGAGGGGGGGGGGTGGCAGGTGCCTGGTTTTCACAGGTACCGGTTCCCATTTCTGGTCGGATTACCTTGGCGATCAAAGCGCAAGTTTGCCCCCCTTTCCCCCACAGCGTTCTTGGACACATCAGAGGTCCGTGGTCAGGGACCGTGCACATGCGCAGTGGGAAACCAGCTGTGAAGCTGTAAGGCTTGACTGCCTGTTTCTCTTAGTTAAGATGCTAGTGCCAGGAACCTGAAGCCGACTGAAGAATTAACTCAGGTGAGGACATTGCTGGACCCCTGGACAGGTAAGTGCCCTTTTAGCAAATGTCAGCAGCTACAGGATTGGTAGCGGCTGACAATTTTTTGGGGGGAGATCAGAGCTTCCCGTCTGGCCGCTGTATATAAAACGGCCGGACGGTAGCAGTGCAGGGGCGGGTTGCTGTTCATAAACAGTGCCCACCATTTTGGATTGTGCACGCTACCTGGGAGCACGCAGCACCGCGATCCTGGTGCCCGTTGTGTCCTCTGACACAGATCGCTGTACGGGACCTCTGCGCAGGTCCCGATCATGTGATCACTGATTGGCCAATCAGTGATTACATGAAGAGTGGTAACAAGCTGTCACTTCTGCATCATTGCTTACTACGAGTGAAATCTGTGAATGATCACAGAGGTCACATGGTACAGGGCTATTCACAACAGCCTTGTACCATGTGGCAAGCTGTGACCAATCACAGCTCTCACAGTATTTCTCAATGGCTGCAAGAATGCAGCCAGAGAGAAGGAGATATGATTGCTTTTACATCCTTTATGGGTGTAAAAGCAATCAGTGTAAAAAAAAAAAAAATCTTCATCACCCCCACAAGTAGTACAGTGTCGCCATGGTGACAGTACTGTAGGGTGGCAGGTATGTAAAAAAAAAAATGATATAAAAAAAATAAAATAAAAATGTAAAAAAAGTTTTTTTGAAAAATTATAATTTTTGATTATAAACTTATTTGGGTTATTTTTTTTTTTACTAAAAAGATAACAGAATAAATTTTTTGCCAAAATTTATGAAGAAAGATTATTTATTTGCTAAATTTTATAAGAAAAACACCTTTTTTTTCAAAATTTTTGGACTTTTTCATTTATATAGCAAAAAAAATAAAAATCCCAGTCGTGAATAAATACCACCAAAATAAAGTTTTATACTTTCTCAAAAAAATGCTAAAAAATTCATATGGGTACAGTGTTGCATGACCCGCAATTGCATTCATAGTGTGATAGCACTGAAAGCTGAAAACAGGCCTGGACAGGAAGGGGGTGAAATGTCCGGACAGGAAGTGGTTAAACCCCAAACCCAAAAATATAATAGATCGCAGCTTACCAATCATTAGATGTGGCGGCTGTGTTAGTTTTGTTTGCTTAGGCCTTTTTCCCTCTGTTTTCACCTGGTGATCTGGCCAGTAACACACCTCCTGTTAGAGATTACTCTGGATGAAAGAGCACAGGGGGCACATTTGGACAGCAGCATTGTCGGTTTTTGGGGGAGGGGAGTGTTATGTTAGATGGACTAGCAGATTTAGATACACTAACAAAATTGTACTCAAACTACAGCTCATGCTGCAGTTACACGAACATTTGCAAACATTTTTTTTCCTTTTGGGATAAAGGTTTCACATGAATAAATTAAAGTGATCACTGTAAGCACCGCTGTCAGTGGTGAACGGTTTGTCTCAACACTCTAACTGCTACATCTGCAAGGATAACTTGTTCTAATAAAAAAAAAAAAAAAAAAAACAGAATTACTAGCTGGATCACCAGGTGAAAATAATGGAAAGAAAGCCCAAAAGAGAAAACTGATTCAGCCATCACATCTAAGGATCAGTAAGTTGCAATATAAAAATGTTTGCTTTTGGGTTTAATACTGCTTTAAAGCAGGCCTTTCCCCTTCCCCTAACTTTGTCAGCATGCCGAACCCTTTTTAAAACTTTTTTTTTGCGTTACTAACCTTTTTTTTTTCCTTCTACTTCCTGATTTCCCTAAAGGCAGTGGTGACATAGTCCTGGCCGCATAGAAGCCCCTTGTACAGTCAGGTCCATAAATATTGGGGCATCGACACCATTCTAACATTTTTGGCTCTATACACCACCACAATGGATTTGAAATGAAACGAACAAGATGTGCTTTAACTGCAGACTGTCAGCTTTAATTTGAGGGTATTTACATCCAAATCAGGTGAACGGTGTAGGAACTACAAGTTTGCATATGTGCCTCCCACTTGTTAAGGGGACCAAAAGTAATGGGACGGAATAATAATCATAAATCAAACTTTCACTTTTTAATACTTGGTTGCAAATCCTTTGCAGTCAATTACAGCCTGAAGTCTGGAACGCATAGACATCACCAGACGCTGGGTTTCATCCCTGGTGATGCTCTGCCAGGCCTCTACTGCAACTGTCTTCAGTTCCTGCTTGTTCTTGGGGCATTTTCCCTTCAGTTTTGTCTTCAGCAAGTGAAATGCATGCTCAATCGGATTCAGGTCAGGTGACTGACTTGGCCATTGCATAACATTCCACTTCTTTCCCTTAAAAAACTCTTTGGTTGCTTTTGCAGTCTGCTTTGGGTCATTGTCCATCTGCACTGTGAAGCGTCCAATGAGTTGTGAAGCATTTGGCTGAATATGAGCAGATAATATTCCCGAAACACTTCAGAATTCATCCGGCTGCTTTTGTCAGCAGTCACATCATCAATAAATACAAGAGAAACAGTTCCATTGGCAGCCATACATGCCCACGCCATGACACTACCACCACCATGCTTCACTGATGAGGTGGTAGGCTTAGGATCATGAGCAGTTCCTTTCCTTCTCCCTACTCTTCTCTTCCCATCACTCTGGTACAAGTTGATCTCGGTCTCATCTGTCCATAGGATGTTGTTCCAGAACTGTGAAGGCTTTTTTACATGTCGTTTGGCAAACTCTAATCTGGCCTTCCTGTTTTTGAGGCTCACCAATGGTTTCCATCTTGTGGTGAACCTCTGTATCCACTCTGGTGAAGTCTTCTCTTGATTGTTGACTTTGACACACATACACCTACCTCCTGGAGAGTGTTCTTGATCTGGCCCAACTGTTGTGAAGGGTGTTTTCTTCACCAGGGAAAGAATTCTTCGTCATCCACCACAGTTGTTTTCCGTGGTCTTCCGGGTCTTTTGGTGTTGCTGAGCTCACTGGTGCGTTCCTTCTTTTTAAGAATGTTCCAAACAGTTGTTTTGGCCACGCCTAATGTTTTTGCTATCTCTCTGATGGGTTTGTTTTTTTTTTTCAGCCTAATGATGGTTTGCTTCACTGACAGTGACAGATCTTTGGATCTCATCTTGAGAGTTGACAGCAACAGACTCCAAATGCAAATAGCACACTTGAAATGAACTCTGGACCTTTTATCTGCTCATTGTAATTGGGATAATGAGGGAATAAACACACACCTGGCCATGGAACAGCTGAGAAGCCAATTGTCCCATTACTTTTGGTCCCTTAACAAGTGGGAGGCACATATGCAAACTGTTGTAATTCCTACACCGTTCACCTGATTTGGATGTAAATACCCTCAAATTAAAGCTGACAGTCTGCAGTTAAAGCACATCTTGTTCGTTTCATTTCAAATCCATTGTGGTGGTATATATAGCCAAAAATGTTAGAATTGTGTTGATGTCCCAATATTTATGGACCTGACTGTATATGCCTCTGTGCTGCCTGGGTCTTCATTTCCACACCACCATTTGTAATGCCTCTGATACTGCGCATGCACAAGATGAAGCACACGGTGTCAAGTGCTTTATCTTGTGCATGCCGCATACAACACTACAGGCATATATTGGATGGGGGGGGGACCCTTATCTCAAGGTTCTTCCCCTCCATCAGAGGCCTGCAGTGACACACGGTGCATGCGCAAGATGAAGTGCATGACATCATGTGCAGTGAAATATGCATTACAAATGGCCGTGTGGGAGAAAAATCAATAGGACTTGCACATACCTCCAAAACCTTACTGTCACAGCTGAACGCCAGGGTTTTTTTCCCCCCCATCAGAGGCCTGTAGTGTCACAGGGCACATGCACAAGATGAAGCGCATGACATCATGCGCAGTATAACATGCATTACAAATGGCGGTGTGGGAGAAAAGCCATCACTACAATTGGCAGCCACACTGGCCAACAAGAATGCACAAGAGCCAAAAAGGGTGGGCAAGTCTCTGTATTAATAATGAGCGTCGAAGCTTTATCTGTCAGAATGGCCTGAGATTCAGCCATGACAGAAAGGTTTGGGAGTCTGCTGCTAGAAGGTGAACTCCAACGCAGTGCAAACTCTCCATAGGATCGAAGGAGCGCAACTTCATTGACTTCTATAGAGCTGTACTAAATATTGAGTGTGTCTGATGTCTTGGAGAATGTCTGTGAGCATTTGGAAGAGAGTTCAAAAGATGGGGAGCAGCGATAGAGAAGCCCTGTGAGTGAGAAGAGGTCATGGAGGTAAAGAGGGGTAATGCTTTCTAGTCAAGACATCTTACCTGCTCATATGCCATGAATTTGATAGCGGACTCAGGAGCGATTTTCAGTACGTTTATACCATTCCCCCGCCACAGTGAGCGCAATCCACCTTCCTCTATCATTGCTTTCACTCCCCTCAACATGGAGAGCCCCTGAGATTTTGATCCATGTACCTGTGAAGATCGAAAAGAAAGATGAACATACATCAGGAGCACAAATTATGTGCAGTGAACTCCAACCAAAGAACCAACGGAAAGGCACTTTAAAAGGCACAAATTAAGGCAGGCCATAGATGATGCAATTTTTATTCTTGCAACCACAGGATGCAGAAAAGAGAAATCGTTCGATCAGTGTTGATGGGAAAATCCCTCCCACAGAGCTATTGTGTTCTCCCGGTGGGGAAGGTAGGGAGTTGTTCTGGCTGCAAGAACACCGTGATTATTGCTTTCAGCTTTAGCCGATGGCAAAAATTGCATGTAAAAATCCAACATGCATGTAGACATCAAAAAAAAAATCCAACATGTATGTAAAAATTGCATGTAAAAATCGATCGATAAATCAACTTTGGTACAATCAGCCTGTCCATAGGCGGTTCAAATCTCAGCTAGTACTCGATCGATAAATCAACTATGGTACAATCAGCCTGCCCATTGGCGGTTCAAATCTCAGCTAGTCCCTGCTGAACTGGCAGAGATTCGAACGATCGATGGCGGTCTTAATACACAAAAGTACAAACCGTAACTTGCAGCTTCTAGGGGGATTGGCCAGATATGCTACAGTATATGCAAAGATTTCTTTAAAGAACAATCATCCAGCAGAGTGAGATTCCTGGAGCTGTCTTTTTAATGCTGAAGAATATTATGCTCACCTGCATTAGGACTTTCAGCCTGTCCAGGGGGGCGGTTCCTGTCCTTGACACGGCTCCTGCCACACCTCCCGCCAACAGCTGCTTCCACCACATACCGGTGCGGATCTCCTTCTTTGAGAACTCATCTGGAACCGCAAGAGACTCACCTATATCCAGCATCTGAGGAAAGACACAAAATAATCTGCCATACAACAGCATAAGGAGAAACAATGAACTGCCCTACATAGAGGAAGGATCCAACCTCAACCACTATATAAATTCTCACAGAAGAACAATGGCTTGCCCTACATAGAGGAAGGATCCAACCTCAACCACTATATAAATTCTCACAGAAGAACAATGGCTTGCCCTACATAGAGGAAGGATCCAACCTCAACCACTATATAAATTCTCACAGAAGAACAATGGCCTGCCCTACATAGAGGAAGGATCCAACCTCAACCACTATATAAATTCTCACAGAAGAACAATGACTTGTCCTACATAGAGGAAGGATCCAACCTCAACCACTATTATAAATTCTCACAGAAGAACAATGGCCTGCCCTACATAGAGGAAGGATCCAACCTCAACCACTATATAAATTCTCACAGAAGAACAATGGCTTGTCCTACATAGAGGAAAGAACCAACCTCAATCACTGTACAACTTATCACACAGGAACAATGGCTTGCTCTACATAGAGGAAAGATCTAACCTCAACCAGTATATAGATTATCACAGAAGAACAATGGCCTGCTCTACATAGAGGAAAGATCCAACCTCAACCACTATACAATTATCACAGAGGAACAATGGCCTGCCCTACATAGAGGAAAGATCAAACCTAAACCAATATATAAATAATCAAAGAAGAACAATGGCTTGTCCTACATAGAGGAAAGAACCAACCTCAATCACTATACAACTTATCACACAGGAACAATGGCCTGCCCTACATAGAGGAAAGATCTAACCTCAACCGGTATATAGATTATCACAGAAGAACAATGGCGTGCTCTACATAGAGGAAAGATCCAACCTCAACCACTATATAAATTATCAAAAGAACAATGACCTGCCCTACATAGAGGAAAATCCAACTCAACCACTATATAAATTATCACAGAAGAACAATGGCTTGTCCTACATAGAGGAAAGATCCAACCTCAACTATTATATAGCTTCTCACAGAAGAACAATGACCTGTCGTCCTACACAGGAGGAAAGATTTAACTTCAACCACTCAAATTCTCATAGAAGAACAACGACATTCTCTACATAGAAGAAAGATCCAACTTCAACCACTATACAACTTCTCACAGAAGAACAATGACTTGCTCTAAAAAAAAATCCAACATCAACTGCCCACCAAGAAACAATGACCTGTTCTACATGAAGAAAAAGATCCAACATCAACTGCCATACACAGTAACTGAGGAACAATGACCTATCTACATTGAGGAATGATCCAATATCCATAACAATATATCTGGTAGACAGTGACCTGGTCTACATGGAGGGAAGACCAAACATCAACTACCATGTAAGTGCACACCTAAAAATGATGACTTGTTCTATATGGAAGAAAACATCTAGAATCAGCCACCATATAACTGCACACCAAGGAACAAGAACCTGTTCTTTGTTGAAAAAGAGACCAAACAGTACGTGTGATATTAGTGTACACTTAGAAACAATGACTTGTTCTACATGGAATTAAGATCTGACAGTAACTGCTATATAACTGCACACCATGGAATAAAGACCTGTTCTCTATATGGAGGAATGATCCAACATCAGTAACCAAATAACTGAACACCTAAGACCGATGACGTATTCTAAACTGAAGAAAAGATCTAGAATCAACCACATAACTGCACACCAAGGAACAAAGATCTGTTCTACATGGAAGGAGTGATCCCACATCAATAACCATATAACTGCATACCAAGGTACAATGGCCTGTTCTTACCCCTTCAAATTTTCCACATTTTGTCATGTTACAACAAAAAACGTAAATGTATTTGGGATTTTATGTGATGGACCAACACAAAGTGGCACATAATTGTGAAGTGAAAGGAAAATGATAAATTGTTTTCAAAATTTTTACAAATAAATATCTGAAAAGAGTGGCGTACATTTGTATTCAGCCCCCTTTACTCTGATACCCATAACTAAAATCTAGTGAAACCAATTGCCTTCAGAAGTCACCTGATTAGTAAATAGAGTCCACCTGTGTAAAATTTTTATCTCAGTATAAACACAGCTGCTCTGTGAAGCCCTCAGGTTTGTTAGAGAACATTAGTGAACAATCAGCATCATGAATGCCAAGGAACACACCAGACAGGTTAGGGATAAAGTTGTGGAGAAGTTTAAAGCAGGGCTAGATTATAAAAAAATATCCCAAGTTTTGAACATCTCATGGAGCACTGTTCCATCCATCATTCTAAAATGGAAAGAGTATGGCACAACTGCAAACCTACCAAGACATGGCCGTTCACCTAAACTGACAGGCTGGGCAAGGAGAGCATTCATCAGAGAAGCACTCAAGAGGCCCATGGGAACTGGAGGAGCTGCAGAGATCCACAGCTCAGGTGGGAGAATCTGTCCACAGGACAGCCATTAGTCGTGCACTCCACAAATCTGGCCTTTATAGAAGAGTGGCAAGAAGAAAGTTCATTGTTGAAAGAAAGCCATAAGAAGTCCTGTTTGCAGTTTGTGAGAAGCCATGTGGGGGACACAGCAAACATGTGGAAGAAGGTGCTCTGGTCAGAAGAGACCAAAATGTAACTTTTTGGCCTAAAAGCAAAACACTATGTGTGGCAAAATACTAACACTGCACATCACCCTGAAACACACCATCCCCACTGTGAAACATGGTGGTGACAGCATCATGTTGTGGGGATGCTTTTCTTCAGCAGGGACAGGGAAGCTGGTCAGTATTGATGGGAAGATGGATGGAACCAAATACAGGGCAATCTTAGAAGAAAACCAGTTAGAGTTTGCAAAAGACTTGAGACCGGGGCGGAGGTTCACCTTCCAGCAGGACAACGACCCGAAACATCCAGCCAGAGCTACAATGGAATGGTTTAGATCAAAGCTTATTCATGTGTTAGAATGGCCCAGTCACAGTCCAGACCTAAATCCAATGGAGAATCTGTGGCAAGACTTGAACATTGCTGTTCACAGATGCCCAGTCACAGTCCAGACCTAAATCCAATGGAGGAATCTGTGGCAAGACTTGAACATTGCTGTTCACAGATGCTCTCCATCCAATCTGACAGAGCTTGAGCTATTCTGCAAAGAAGAATGGGCAGAAATGTCCCTCTCTAGATGTACAAAGCTGGTAGAGACATCCCCAAAAAGACTTGCAGCTGGAATTGCAGTGAAAGGGGGTCCTACAAAGTATTGACTCTGGGGGGGGGATGAATACAAATGCTCCCCACACTTTTCACAGATTTACTTGTAAAAAACTTGAAAACCATTTATCATTTTCCTTCCAATTCACAATTATGTGCCACTTTGTGTTGGTCCATCACATCCAATCCCATTAAAATAAATTGACGTTTTTGGTTGTAGCACGACAACATGTGGAACATTTCAAGGGGTATGAAGACTTTTTCAAGGCACTGTACAAGGAGGGAATATCCAACATCAACAATTACCAACATATATTTTACATTGAGGAAAAGACTCAACATAAATTACCATACAACTAAACACTGAGGGACAATGACCTGTTCTGTATAAAAAAAAAAAAAAAAAAAAAAAAAAAAAAGGAGGCCCAAACCCAACTACCACATTACTGAACACTGAACACCAAGAACATAGTTACATAGTTAGTCTGGCTGAAAAAAAGACAAAAAAGTCCATCCAGTTTCAACCATAAAAAAAAAAAAAAAAAAAAAAAAAAAAAAAAAAAAAAAAAAAAGTTAGTTATAATCCTATACCCACAGTTGATCCAGAGGAAGGCAAAAAAAATGATCCAATTTGCTCCTGCTGGTGAAACAATTCCTTCCCGATCCCCCCGAGAGGCAATCGGATATTCCCTGGATTAAGAACAATGACCTGTTCTACATGGAAGAGAAAGCCTAACATCATCCACCCAATAACTGCACATCGAGGGAACAGTCACCTGTTCTACATGGAGTAAAGCGCCAACAGCAACTGCCATATAACTGGACACCGAGGAAAATGGACACGTTCTACATAACAATCCAACATCAACTGCTACAGTATATAATTGCACACTGAGGAACAGAGAACTGTTTTACGTAGGGGGAAAAGGGCGCAAGTCTGCTACCGTAACTGCACCCCAAGGAACACCTGTACTACATGGAGGAGACAATATTCACAACCATTTAACCATACAAAGCAGTGTGCATACAGTGAAACACACACAAAGCCCCATAGTAAAACAGCACACAGTTAACCCCTTTGATCGCCCCAGATGTTAACCCCTTCCTGCCCAGCGTCATTAGTACAGTGTCAGTGCTTTTTTATTAGCACTGATCACTGTATTGGTGTCACTGGAGAGGTCAGTGACACCAGGTCAGTTCCCCTCCGGTGCCAGAATGCCCGCTGCAGTCCTGCAATAAAGTCGCTAATCACCACCATTACTAGTAAAAAAAAAAAAAAAATCCTAGTACAGGGGCGGACTGACCATTCAGAAACTCGGGCACTGCCCGAGGTCAGTCAGGGGCCCCATGAGATGCCCCTGGTACATTTCATAGACTTTTTTAGAGCGTGGTTTTTTGGGTGAGGACACAGGGGCCCTATGCCCGGGGGCCCCATGAGTTGTCAGTCTGCCCCTGTCCCAGTATATATACCGCCATTTGTAGACGCTATAACTTTCATGTATACCAATTAATTTACACATATTGGGATTTATTTTTAGCAAAGACATGGAGCAGAATACATTTTGGCCTAAATTTATGATGAAATTAGATTTTTTAAAATTTTTTTGCTGGACGCATTTAATAGCAAAAAGTCAAAAATATATATATTTTTTAAATTGGCGTTTTTTTTTTTGGTTAAAAATGCACAGGCGATCAAATACCACCGAAGAAAAGCTCTATTTGTGGGGAAGAAAAAAAAAAAAAGGGACATAAATTTAATTTGGGTGCAACATTGCATGACCGCACAATTGTCAGTTGAAGTAACGCAGAGTTGCATCTCAAAAAAAAAAAAAAATGCCCTGGTCAGGAGGGGGGGGGGGGGGTAAATCTTCCGGAGGGCAAGTGGTTACGCTTTGGCAATAAACCTGGAAGCTGATTGGTTTCTTTGCACAGCTGCACCAGATTTTGCACTCTCCAGTTTTTGTGAATCAACCCCACTGTATGCTGCAGGAATATGCCCCACAAAACCAGGGGGGGGGTAAATCCTCTGGAGGGCAAGTGGCTAAAAGGGGTCTGTAATTACCTATTTTTACATACCGTATTTTCCGGCGTATAAGACGACCCCCTACTTTTCCTGTTTAAAATATAGGGTTTGGGCTATACTCGCCGTATAAGACTACCCCTCTTCCAACGCTCACCAAATAAAAATTAAAAAACATCAGATTTGATTTCAATATGGTATGGTATTCCAATGATGGGGCACGATTCCTTGCTCTGACACTAATGATGGGGCACGATTCCTTGCTCTGACACTAATGATGGGGCACTATTCCCCCCACTGATACCAACGATGGGACACTATTCCTTCCACTGATACCAACGATGGGGCACCATTCCTCCCACTGATACCAACGATGGGGCACCATTCCTCCCACTGATACCAACGATGGGGCACCATTCCTCCCACTGATACCAACGATGGGCACCATTCCTCCCACTGATACCAACGATGGGGCACCATTCCTTCCACTGATACCAACGATGGGGCACCATTCCTTCCACTGATACCAACGATGGGGCACCATTCCTTCCACTGATACCAACGATGGGGCACCATTCCTTCCACTGATACCAACGATGGGGCACCATTCCTTCCACTGATACCAACGATGGGGCACCATTCCTTCCACTGATACCAACGATGGGGCACCATTCCTTCCACTGATACCAACGATGGGGCACCATTCCTTCCACTGATACCAACGATGGGGCACCATTCCTTCCACTGATACCAACGATGGGGCACCATTCCTTCCACTGATACCAACGATGGGGCACCATTCCTTCCACTGATACCTGATGGGGCACCATTCCTTCCAGTGATACGATGGGGTACCATTCCTCCCACTGATACCAATGATGGGGCACCATTCCTCCCACTGATACCAATGATGGGGCACTATTCCTCCCACTGATACCAATGATGGGGCACTATTCCTCCCACTGATACCAATGATGGGGCACTATTCCTCCCACTGATCAATGATGGGGCACTACCAATACCAATGATGGGGCACTATTCCTCCACTGATACCAATGATGGGGCACTATTCCTCCCAATGATACCAATGATGGGGCACTATTCCTCCCACTGATACCAATGATGGGGCACTATTCCTCCCACTGATACCAATGATGGGGCACTATTCCTCCCACTGATACCAATGATGGGGCACTATTCCTCCCACTGATACCAATGATGAGGCACTATTCCTCCCATTGACACCAATGATGGTGCCCCATCATTAGTGTCAGTGGGAGGAATAGTGCCCCATCATTGGTGTCAGTGGGAGGAATAGTGCCCCATCATTGGTGTCAGTGACACCAATGATGGGACACTATTCCTCCCACTGACACCAATGACACTTGCTGACCCCTGTTCCAGTATGGTGCTGCTGCAGCCAGCATATGTGGTTGCAGCAGCACCTCTGCACTGCACACTTACCGGCTGCTCCCTCACTCGATTTTCGTGGGTCCGCTTGGCTCCGCCTCCTCGCCCGTGATTGGCCGCCTGTGTGCCTTTCCTGAGCTACAGTTCTGGCGGCCAATCACCGGTGAGGAGGCGGAGCCGAGCGGCAGGAGTGAGGGAGTGGCCGCAGTGACTGAAGGAGCAGCGCTTCCTGGATGGATCGTCGTGGGAGCCAGGTAAGGTACAGCAGCCCTCTGCCCACCCCTGTACTTGGTGTCCCTTTCGTCGGAAGGGGAGGGGGGGAGGACGGCGGCAGCACAGCGCCGCCCCCCTAAAAAGTGCCGCCCTGACGTATACCGGCGTATAAGACGACCCCCGACTTTTGATAAGATTTTCAAGGGTCAAAAAGTCATCTTATACGCCGGAAAATACGGTATATTTAATAGTGCCAAGGATAGAAGGGTTTGTTTTTTCTTTTTTTTAAGTTTCTTTGTATAGTGTTTGAACCTATATATAAATGACATTGTATATTTGTTCATTAAATAGAGTTCATGTTGTGCCACCTACTTAGTATTACTGTGCAGTGACTCTATTGCTCTTTTTATCTTATAGGACTGCAGGAATGTAGACAGAGGACTACAGTAAATGTTTTAAACACTTTCTATATAGCTGATCCTGAAACTATTCATATGAGAGATGCTTACAGAACTGTCCCTAGAGGGATGCTAACTGAACTGTCTGATATACAGGTGGCCACTAGAGGGAGCCTCTACACATCTGTACATAGTACACAATCATCAGAACAGAAATGAAGTAAATAAGTGCGCATCAATTATGACTTTACTTTAGGTAAACCACACGACCACAATGTAAATAGGGCAATCACTAAAAACACAGTCCAATTTTCCCTGAATTCATTATCTTACCAAAGGCAGCAGCCGGAATCTTCACAATCATGAAGATGGCAATGGTTGCACTTGCGTTGGGCCTCTGCAGTGTTTTAACCACTTCAAGTCTGGACACTTTCACCCCCTTCCTGCCCAGGCCAATTTTCAGCTTTCAGCGCTATCACACTTTGAATGACAATTGCGAGGTCATGCAACAATGCACCCATATTAATTTTTTTAGCATTTTTTTGGGACAGATAAAAAAAAAACTTATTTTGGTGGTATTTATTCACCACTGGGATTTTTATTTTTTTTGCTATGTAAATGAAAAAGTCCAAAACTTTTGAAAAAAAGTGTTTTTCTTAAAAAAATTTGCAAATAAATAATATTTCATCATAAATCTTGGCCAAAATTTATTCTGTTATCTTTTTAGTAAAAAAAAAAAAAAAAAAAAAAAAAAATACAATATAACCCAAATTAGTTTATAACCAAAAATTATAGTTTTTAAACTTTTTTTTACATTTTATATTATTGTTTTTTTTTTTTACATACTGTCACCCTAGCAGTACAGTGTCACCATGGTGACACTGTACTACTTGTGGGGGGGTGAAGATTTTTTTTTTTTTTTTTTTTTTACACTGATTGCTTTTACACCCATAAAGGCTGTAAAAGCAAAAATTTCTCCTCTCTGGCTGCATCCTTGCAGCCATTGAGAAATACTGTGTGAGCTGTGATTGGTCACAGCTTGTCACATGGTACAAGGCTGTTGTGAATAGCCTTGTACCATGTGACCTCTGTGATCATTGACAGATTTCACACGTAGTAAGCAATGATGTCAGAAGGGACATCTTGCTTACTACTCTGCATGTGATCACTGAATGGCCAATCAGTGATCACATGATCGGGACCTCGCACAGAGGTCCCGTCCGACGATCGGTGTTCCACTGTATCCGAAGGACACAGCGGGCACTGGATCGCGGTGCTGCGCGCTGCCAGGAAGAGCGCACAAGCAGAAGTTGGGGAGGCCATTTATAAATGGCCACCCACCCCTGAACTGCCACCATCCGTCCGTTTATATACACAACAGCCAGACGGTAGGTGGTTAAAGGAGAAATGTGTTTTGTGCATAACAACCATTTGCTTTCCTCATACGGGAGAATACAAGGGGGGATATGATGGTCTGCTATGTGTAATAAAGTTCTACTTGCAGCCACTGATGGTAAGGAGCCTGTGTTTACCTCCCAATGATATACTCACTGAGGAGTGCTTCCAATAAGTGACCACGTCTTCCATATTGTGCAGCGGATTCAGCAGGAAATGATCTCTCCATTCCAGCCAATCAATGGTCAGCGTCCCGTCACGGTCCATGCTATAAAGGAACACTGCGTCAGGTCCATTGTGTCAGAGGCATGGTTTGTGGAATGACAACATGCTACACAAAGTGGTAGATAAAAGTCTTTACGTGAAGGGAAATACCTAGGCTGTCATTGCAATCCTCTCCAGAAAATGCTAGTTTTCTGGCTGTTGCGACAACTCTCTGGCTTCTGTACATTCTAAATCACTGACCCAGCAAGGTAGAGATCGGTACACTGAACTTGCAGAATATTTGCCCTCACCACTGCTTCCTGTGACAACCCAAGAATTCTGGATTTCCAATTACTTATCAATGCTCATCAGCACCAATAGGGAGGGTGAATCTCTCCGGCAGGAACACAGACGGCAATAAAAACATGACAGAGGAGCCAACCCCCTCACCACTAAATAGTGTTTGGGCTTTACATAACCTTTCCAGTTGGCAGGGAGCTGGTCCTTTGAAAGTTAAGAGGCATTACATGGGTGGCCCGGTTATTATTATTATTATACAGGATTTATATAGCGCCAACAGTTTGCTCAGCGCTTTACAATATAACAGGAGACAATACAGCAACAATACAGTTCAATACAAGAGGGATAGGAGGGCCTGATCCTTGGAGCTTACAATCTAAGAGGGAGGGGCTAGTGGTACAAAAGGTAGTAACTGTGGGGGATGGACTGGTAGGAGCAGTAGAAGATTCCATTATTAGCTGAGGGCAGGATAGGCTTCCCTGAAGAGAGAGGTTTTTAGAGATTGCCTAAAAGTGGGTAGAGTTGGTGATAATCTGATAAATTGGGGTAGAGAGTTCCAGAGGATGGGGAGGCTCTGGAGAAGTCCTGGAGATGAGCATGGGAGGAGGAAACAAAGGGAGCTAGAGAGCAGGAGGTCGTGGGAGGAGTGGAGAGTACAGTTTGGGTGATATTTGGAGACAAGATTGGTGATGTAATTTGGGGCAGAGTTATAAATGACTTTATATGTTATTGTTAATGTTTTTAATTTTATCTGTTGGGAAATGGGAAGCCAGTGGAGGGATTGGCAGAGAGGGGTGGAGGACACTGAGTGGAGGCCAGTGGAGGGATTGGCAGAGAGGGGTGGAGGACACTGAGTTGAGGTCAGTGGAGGTATTGGAAGAGAGGGGTGGAGGACACTAAGTGGAGGCCAGGTTAGGAATTGGCAGAGAGGGATGGAGTACACTGAAGGGAGGTCAGTGGAGGGATTGGCAGAGAGGGATGGAGGACACCGAGTGGAGGTCAGTGGAGGGATTGGCAGAGAGGGGTGGAGGACACTGAGTGGAGGCCAGTGGAGGGATTGGCAGAGAGGGGTGGAGGACACTGAGTGGAGGCCAGTGGAGGGATTGGCAGAGAGGGGTGGAGGACACTGAAGGGAGGTCAGTGGAGGGATTGGCAGAGAGGGGTGGCAGATACAGAACGGTTAGTAAGGTGGATGGGTCTGGCAGCAGCATTCATGACAGACTGAAGAGGGGTTAGCCTGCGATGAGGTCGGCCAATGAGGAGGGAGTTACAATAGTCAAGGTGTGATATAACCAGGGAGTGAATAAGTTGCTTAGTGGTTTCCGAGGTTAGGAACGGGCGTATCTTGGAGATGCTGTGGAGGTGAAGTCTACAAGATTTGGACTGCGTTTGGATTTGGGGGTGAAAGGACAGATGGGAGTCTAGGATTACCCCTAGTACCCTGGCATGAGGGGAGGGACTGATGGTTGTATTACTGGTCTTGAAGGAGACGTCAGGGGAGGGGGAACGAAAATTCAGAATGCCAGACGCATTACATGGGCATCCCGGTTATGCGATCACTGTGATTGGATGCCGCAGTGATGACATGATGGGGAGCCTGCCCCACCACATCCCAATCATAAACAATGACCAGACGCTGTTGGTGACAGGTCAGCATTAAAGCAGCATTATTATTATTATTATTATACAGGATTTATATAGCGCCAACACTTTGCTCAGCACTTTACTAAATGAAGGCAGACATTACAGTCACAATACAATTTGGTACAAGAGGGAACAGAGGTTCCACCCAAACGTGGAAGCTCTGTTTATCTGCCTCCCCCCCCCCCCCCCCCCCGGCCACATTTGGCACCTTTTGAGGGGGAGGGGGGGAAGCAGGTACCCAGCTCAGTTTGCTGCGGCCCCCCCCTCCCCTGAAGCCCTCTGAGAAACTCAACAGGTCCTAGAGGACTGTGACCCAATCACAAAGAACAGCGCGCTTCGCACATGTGCAATAGGAAACCTTTCGGCTACACTGTGGGTTTCCCTTAGTCAAGATGGCGGTGACATATTGGAAAATATGGACCACTATAAAGATCAAACAGTTTTGGCTCCTCAGTCTAGCTCTGTCTCTTAGCTCTGTACGTTCCCCGGTGGCCAGGGGCTCTTGCCTGAGTGGGGTCAGGAGGTTAAGCGGAGGGGTGTGCTCTGCTCTCCTTTTCTCTTCTCCCCTCCTTAACCTCCCCCCCCCCCACTTCCATTCTTCTTCTTTCTCCCTTTTTTTTCTTTTTCTGTTTGTTACTCTACTGGAGTTGAATGTTTGGTTGCTGTATTTTGTACACAGACAGAATGTAAAGACGGGATAATGGTTCTTTTGTTTGTAGCTGTGGTCGGTCCTTGGGTCACAGCAGGCAATCAGATGTGGATTGTTGGCCTCTCTGTCCATTCCAAATTATAATACAGGAAGGGCTCTCTTTACTGGTTCCTGATCAGAGTTTTGTGATTGGTCGATATGAACCTAAAACCAGACAAGTAATATAGGACAGGTGAACCTGACAGGTATGGGGCCTCCATTCTCTCACCTCAGCAGGATCTTGTGGGCCTGGTCTAGTGTGATATGGACGCCAAGGCTCTGGAAACATTGCTGGATCTCAGACACGTCAATGCGACCTGGAAGAGTGGGAAACAAGTCAAAGTAAATGAATATTTCTTTGATATACAATTGATTTTGCCATCCGCCTTCCTTGACTGCGACGACACCCTCCACCCCACCTCCCCCCCATCCCGCACAATCTGTGCTGCTGGAGGACTCTGGCCCTTGAAGGAAACCTGTTAGGGTGTACATATAGTCCAAGTAACATGGTTTCCTATGGGTCACATTCAGGGGCGGACTGACCATTTGGAAACTCGGGCACTGCCCGAGACCCCGGGGTCAGTAGGGGGCCCCCATGAGATGCCCCTGGTACCTTTTTCATAGGCTTTTTTGAGTTTGGGCAAGGACACAGGGGCCCCATGATCCCCTATTGCCCGGGGTTCTGTGGTGTGTCTCCCGCAGCGCGTTTCTCTGGCCGTCCTGTATTCCAGGAGGCTGGCATCTTTAGTGTGGGCACCCGGCTGTGACAGCTTGCGGCTTCACAGCCGGGTACCCACTGCGCATGTGCGAGTAGCGAAGCACTTCATGAATGGTCCTGTAGTCTTCTGGGATCCGTCACGTGTCCCAGAAGCAGGGGCGGACTGACCATTTGGAAACTTGGGCACTGCCCGAGGGCCCGGGGTCAGTAAGGGGCCCCATGAGATGCCCCTGGTACCTTTTTCATAGGCTTTTTTGAGTTTGGGCAAGGACACAGGGGCCCCATGACCCCATATTGATCAGGGGCCCCATGAGTTGTCAGTCCGCCCCTGGTCACATTCACATCTGTGTGTTTTCCACGGTGTGTTTTTTTGAAAGAGTCAGGGACTTTTTTCCTGCAGCAGGTTGTGTTTTTGGCTCCACAGACTTCAATGGAAACACAGCAGAAATGCATCAAAAAGAAATATACAGTAGGGCAAAAAAGTATTTAGTCAGCCACCAATTGTGCAAGTTCTCCCACTTAAAAAGATGAGAGAGGCCTGTAATTGGCATCATAGGTAGACCTCAACCATGAGAGACAAAATGAGAAAACAAATCCAGACAATCACATTGGCTGATTTGGAAAGAATTTATTTGCAAATTATGGGGGAAATAAGTATTTGGTCACCTACAAACAAGCAAGATTTCTGGCTCTCACAGACCTGTACCTTCTTCTTTAAGGTACCTTCTGTCCTGCACTCATTACCTGTATCAATGGCACATGTTTGAACTTGTTATCAGTATAAAAGACCCCTGTCCACAACCTCAAACAGTCACACTCCAAACTCCACTATGGTGAAGACCAAAGAGCTGTCGAAGGACACCAGAAACAAAATTGTAGACCTGCACCAGGCTGGGAAGACTGAATCTGCAATAGGCAAGCAGCTTGGTGTGAACAAATCAACTGTGGGAGCAAAAATTAGAAAATGGAAGACATACAAGACCACTGATAATCTCCCTCAATCTGGGGCTCCACGCAAGATCTCACCCCGTGGGGTCAAAATGATCACAAGAACGGTGAGCAAAAATCCCAGGACCATGCGGGGGGACCTAGTGAATGACCTGCAGAGAGCTGGGACCAACGTAACAAAGGCTACCATCAGTAACACACTACGCCGCCAGGGACTCAGATCCTGCAGTGCCAGACGTGTCCCCCTGCTTAAGCCAGTACATGTCCAGGCCCGTCTGAAGTTTGCTAGAGAGCATTTGGATGATCCAGAAGAGGATTGGGAGAATGTCATATGGTCAGATGAAACCAAAATAGAACTGTTTGGTAGAAACACAACTCGTCGTATTTGGAGGAGAGAGAATGCCGAGTTGCATCCAAAGAACACCATACCTACTGTGAAGCATGGGGGTGGCAACATCATGCTTTGGGACTGTTTCTCCGCAAAGGGACCAGGACGACTGATCCATGTACAGGACAGAATGAATGGGGCCATGTATCGTGAGATTTTGAGTGCAAACCTCCTTCCATCACCAAGGGCATTGAAGATGAAACATGGCTGGGTCTTCCAACATGACAATGATCCCAAACATACCGCGCGGGCAACGAAGGAGTGGCTTCATAAGAAGCATTTCAAGGTCCTGGAGTGGCCTAGCCAGTCTCCTGATCTCAACCCCATAGAAAACCTTTGGAGGGAGTTGAAAGTCCGTGTTGCCCAGCGACAGCCCCAAAACATCACTGCTCTAGAGGAGATCTGCATGGAGGATGGGCCAACATACCAGCAACAGTGTGTGCCAACCTTGTGAAGACTTACAGGAAACGTCTGACCTCTGTCATTGCCAACAAAGGATATATAACAAAGTATTGAGATGAACTTTTGATATTGACCAAATACTTATTTTCCACCATAATTTGCAAATAAATTCTTTCCAAATCAGCCAATGTGATTGTGTGGATTTGTTTTTCTCATTTTGTCTCTCATGGTTGAGGTCTACCTATGATGCCAATTACAGGCCTCTCTCATCTTTTTAAGTGGGAGAACTTGCACAATTGGTGGCTGACTAAATACTTTTTTGCCCCACTGTAACTCCTTGATGTTATCTGGGTTAATAAGCATGAATACCCAACATTCCTCCTGATACCATGCTCCACTGATATGACAATATATGAAGAAAAATATAGTATAATACAGCAAAACACCTTTATAATACACTTTATTAAAGTGCTTACATCACAACAGCTTTTAAAACGCCTTGTTATCGATATACCAAACCTCTGTGTAGTCCAGGAAACATCTACAAGTGTTTGATAGGATTTTGTCACTTTCCAAATTGGCCGGTGCTCCACTTCCAGTTCCCGTGTGCATCTGACGTCACTTCCCTTGACGCGTTTCGTCATCGGAAGTGACTTCAGACACACACGGGAATCGTATTTAGTTTCACACAGTGTATCTTTTATGCATTTATGCAATGACATATAAAGCCGTCCACAACTCTGCCCCAACTTACATCACCGATCTTGTTTCTAAATATCACCAAAACCGTCCTCTTTGCTCCTCGCAAGACCTCCTACTCTCTAGTTCCCTTGTCTCCTCCTCCCATGCTCGTCTCCAAGACTTCTCCAGGGCGTCACCCATCCTCTGGATCTCCCTACCCCAATCTATCAGACTATCGCCTACTCTGCTCACTTTTAGGCGATCTCTGAAAACCTCTCTCTTCAGGGAAGCCTATCCCGTCCTCTGCTAATACTGGAATCTTCTACTCTTCCAACCAGTCCATCCCCCACAGTTACTACCTTTTGTACCACTAGCCCCTACCTCCTAGATTGTAAGCTCCAAGGATCAGGGCCCTCCTATCCCTCTTGTATTGAACTGTATTGTTGCTGTATTGTCTCCCGTTATATTGTAAAGTGCTGAGCAAACTGTTGGCGCTATATAAATCCAATATAAAAATTATGCATTGATTTATTAAGGATAATGCACTATGTAAATTTTCTTTTTTTGAGGTTGCATTGGTCGTGAAAGCCATTTGGGAGGCTCAGACACTTGGATTATTTTTGGAATCACCATTTATGATTATAGTTTGAGGACACAAGTGTGTGGTTTTTTGCATATTAACTTGATTTTGGACACTATTATTAATTTGGACAATTTTTTAATGTATAATTTTATACTTTTTGTTTTCACATTGTGGGAGATGTTTGTTTAAGTGGCATATTAATTATTATAGATATAGATACACTTTCAAGGGTGAAGATGAGACTTTATGCTATATATATATATATATATATATATATATATATATATATATATAATATATATATATATACACACACACACACACTTTTGGGGCGTTACCGTAATTATTTATATTTAAAAAAAATATACGCAGGCATCTTGTAGTGCAGCAGTTTGCTTCTTAATTTAACTCAATATCATTCACATAGGCAGACAGGGGCGCAATAAAAAAAGGGAGGCTGAGCAGCTGTTTTACCATCCCCCTCGTTCCCCCAAACACCCACCTAAAGAGAATGCAGCTACTCTGGGCTGTACACATATAATTGCAGTGAATCAAAGGAAAAATTAAACCCCTTGTCACATTCAGGGGGCAGTACCAGTGAATGGGGCCATGCCGCTATCGTGTGCAATGTTTTACCCCCCGTAGGAAAGCTGCCAGTTTAATTTAAGAGGAACTCCACCAATTATCTTTAGTGCATAGTAGTCCAGCTTAGCTCAATGTTAGTATCCATATCTGACATTCAGAGGGCCACTTGGGATCCTAGAAATCAAAAATAGTCAGCACTACATACAGTGATAGCCACAATCTTCTGAGTGCTGCCCAGCAGCTTTCCATCTGCACAATGATCACAGGAGGAGGGGGGGTCACTCAGAATTGTCACCCTTTACAGAAAGCATTTTTTATTTTCAAAGTATACAAGGCATTCTCTGATTGGCTGAGGTGCAGATGAGGGGGGTAGACGATGTCACAATCTCTACCTCGTCCAATCAGAGAACTCCTCGTATTCATTGTAAAAAATACAGTGTGCAATATGAAGGGCGGCAATGCCAAGCGAGTGACCCCCTGTGTTCTATGTGTAGCAGGGAAGTTGCTGGAGCAGCACCCACAGTCTCACTGTATGTATCGCGGGCTACTACAGCGATTTACAGCATCCCCAGCGGCCCTCCAGATATCAGATATGGATACTTACACCGTGCCAAGCTGGACCAGTTTGCAAAAAAGATCAAAGAGTTCAGAAGCGGCACAGCTTCATCAGATAATCACTGCCACGGGAAACTGAAATCACAGCAGCTGGGCCACAATTCCCAGAATGACTTCTTGTTTCCCGCCACACAAGATATTTGTCTTGAGAGTATGTTTTTCTCTTTTATATCTTTGGATAAATCTTGGATAATGCACTAGGTGTGTGCGCCACCTGTCTATTCTTTTTCCAGTGGTTGATTTCCCCCATCTGAGGAGGGCTGCACCCCTGAAGAATCATCTTAGGCCACCTCTGTCCTGGTCCCCTTGGCTTCCCTTTGGCAATTCATTTCCTGGAGCGCTGGAGAGTTCACACGATATCCCTCCTCATACTTATTTGAAGCAGATCCGATCCAGCAATGTGCATGAGAGCCGCAGCTCTCCAGGGACCATTGGATCCTGCTGCTGTCAATCAAAGCCAGTGAGCCAATCCGGGACCATTGGATCCTGCTGCTTTTCATCACAGCCAGTGAGCCAGTCTGGGACCATTGGATCCTGCTACTGTCAATCAAAGCCAGTCCGTGACCACTGGATCCTGCTACAGTTAATCAAAGCCAGTCTGTGACCATTGGAGCCTGCTGCAGTCCATCAAAGCCAGTGAGCCAGTCTGGGACCATTGGATCCTGCTACTGTCAATCAAAGCCAGTGAGCCAATCCGTGACCACTGGATCCTGCTGCAGTCCATCAAAGCCAGTGAGCCAGTCTGGGACCATTGGATCCTGCTACTGTCAATCAAAGCCAGAGAGCCAATCCGTGACCACTGGATCCTGCTGCTGTCCATCAGTCCTCATGCACACAGGACGTTTTTACAGCGGCTGTTTTTGGCTTTTGATGTTTTTTTTTTCTACAGCTAGTAAACCCCCCCAGCATGCTCTCCTACGTGTCCGCCCCCGGCATGTTCTCCTACGTGTCCGCCCCCGGCATGTTCTCCTACGTGTCCGCCCCCGGCATGTTCTCCTACGTGTCCATGCACACATAGACTGGAATCAGCGTTTTATAGCTGGGGCAATTTTTGTCTAGAAAAAAAAACCCAGGACCAGTGGGTTTCTAGGAGTTTTTTAGCTGTAAAAATGCAGAAAATGTGGCAAAACACGGTAAATCGCAGCAAACCAGTGTTTTTGGACCTTGTTTTGACAAAAAATAATTTTTTTTTTTTTTTGGGTCAGAAAAAGCTAAAAAATGCAAATGAGAAAAAACTCGGCAAAACACAGAAAAACTCACGTTAACGTGACTTTACACAGCTAACATTACCAGTGTTATTATAACGCCCCGTGTACATGAAGCCTTGAAGCCAGTGAGCCAATCCGAGTGATCCTGTCGCTGTCCATCAAAGCCAGTGAGCCAATCCGGGACCATTGGATCCTGCTACTGTCCATCAAAGCCAGTGAGCCAATCCGGGACCATTGGATCCTGCCGCTGTCCATCAAAGCCAGTGAGCCAATCCGGGACCATTGGATCCTGCCGCTGTCCATCAAAGCCAGTGAGCCAATCCGGGACCATTGGATCCTGCCGCTGTCCATCAAAGCCAGTGAGCCAATCCGGGACCATTGGATCCTGCCACTGTCCATCAAAACCAGTGAGCCAATATGGGACCATTGGATCCTGCCACTGTCCATCAAAGCCAGTGACCCAATCCGGGACCATTGGATCCTGCCACTGTCCATCAAAACCAGTGAGCCAATCTGGAACCATTGGATCCTGCTGCTGTCCATCAAAGCCAGTGAGCCAATCTGAGACCATTGGATCCTGCTGCTGTCCATCAAAGCCAGTAAGCCAATCCGGGACCATTGGATCCTGCCACTGCCCATCAAAACCAGTGAGCCAATCTGGGACCATTGGATCCTGCCACTGTCCATCAAAACCAGTGAGCCAATCTGGGACCATTGGATCCTGCCGCTGTCCATCGAAGCCAGTGAGCCAACCTGGGACCATTGGATCCTGCTACTGCCCATCAAAGCCAGTTAGCCAACCTGGGACCATTGGATCCTGCTGCTATCAATAACAGCCAGTGAGCCCATAAGGAACGAGTGGGGGCAAGCTGTGCTCTGTGTGCTAATTGGACAATGTATATTCACAGGAGCGCGGCTCGGGGGTGAGCCTGCTCGAGTGCCCCTAAAGCAAGAGGCCTCTATTGGGGGCACTCAGCAGGAGAGAGGAGCCAGGACCGACAGCAGGGGACACAAAAAGAAGGGGATCAGGGCTGCTCTCTGCAACAACATTACACAGAGCAGGTAAGTATAACATGCTAAAAAAAATAACCTTCAGAATCACTTTAATGCAGAAGAGACAACGCATGTCTCTTTTCCATTAAAACTCCTGCCTGCTCGCCCCTAGTTTTTGGACTAAAGTTTCACTTTAAAGAGGAACTTCCCGCTCTCAGTCAACATGGACTATTTTTAATCCTTATGTTGCTAGCATTAGTAAATTAGGAAAAGTATGTCATTCACTTCTATTAAACTTCTTTTTTACATTTCTGCAGTTACTTCCTGGTTTCTAGGCCTAGGCAAATTATGTCATACATCCCAGGAGTCTTCAGGAGGGGAATTCTTAGCTAAGAACACCCTCCTGCCTGCATGCCTGAGCTAAGGGCAGATCGATTCCAGGAAGTAAATGTTACATGAATCACCTGCCCTTACTCAAGATGGCCACATCCAGAAATGCGACAGGGTGGTATCCAAAGTGATTTCTCAGCAAAATAAAGCATCGAGACATGGATGGGTGGGGGAGTTTGCTTTGAATATTAAAAATGAATTACATAGAATTTTTGGTTTGTGGTGCTCAGATGCAAGGCAGTGCTACTTTAACCACTTCCCATCCGGCCCATGTATATAAACGGCTGGACGAGAGCAGTGCAGGGGCAGGTGGCCATTTATAAACGTCCTCCCCGCTCCGCTCGTGCGCACTCCCTGGGAGCGCGCAGCACCGCGATCCGGTGATCGTTGCACGGGACCTCTGTGCGAGGTCCCGATCATGTGATCACTGATTGGCCAAAATGTGCGGTTGTTCAGTTCTGGCAGGGTGTCATATGACGCCCTCCGACGCAACCCCAGGGGCATGCACCTCTGTGATTGCTGTGTCGTACGGACACAGCTGAATATGTGATGTGGTAAAAGGCCAATCACAGCGGCCTTTTACCACATGATCAGCTGTGTCCAATGACAAAGCAGATCAAGTAAATATAGTTGCCGGTTATCAGATGCACTTTTCTCATGGTGTCACAACAGAAGAAAGACTGCCAATAACCGGCAGTTGTCAGAGAACAGATCAGCACTGATCATCAGTGCCACCCACCTTGCCCATCAGTGCCACCCACAAGTGCATGCCACCCATCAGTGCCGCCCAGCAATTCCACCCATCAGTGCCCAGTCAGTGCTGCCCATCAAATCAGTGCCACCCATCAGTGCTGCCTATCCGTGCCTTTCATAGTGCCCATGTGCCACCCAGCTGTGCCCATCATGACACTCAGCAGTGCCCATCAGTGCCACCACCCATATGCATGCCACCCATCAGTATGCCCAGCAATTCCACCCTTTTCTCATCAGTGCTGCCCATCATTGCTGCATACATGTGCCACCCATCAGTACTGCCTATAACCGTGCACCTCATCAGTGCCCACAGTGCCACCCAGCAGTGCCCATCAGTGCCACTCAGCAGTGCCCATCAGTGCCACCCACAAGTGCATGCCACCCATCAGTGCCGCCCAGCAATTCCACCCATCAGTGCCCAGTCAGTGCTGCCCATCATTGCTGCATATCAGTGCCACCCATCAGTGCTACCTATCCATGCCACCTCATCAGTGCCCATCAGTGCCGCCCAGCAGTGCCAACCATCAGTGCCCAGTCAGTGCTGCCCATCATTGCTGCCTATCCATGCCACCTCATCAGTGCCGCCCAGCAGTGCCCAGTCAGTGCCGCCCATCATTGCTGCATATCAGTGCCTCCTATCCATGCCACCTCATCAGTGCCCACCAGTACTGCCTATCCGTGCCCATCAGTGCTATCAGTGCAGCCTCATCATTGCACATCAGTGAAGGAGAAAAATGACCCATTTGCAAAATTTCATAATGGAAGCAAAGAAAAAACGTTTTTGCTCTTCCTTTCGTTTATAGTGCAAAAAAATAAAAACCCCAGTGGCGATTAAATACCACCAAAAAAGCTCTATTTGTGAGAAAAAAATTATAAAAATGTCATATGGCTACAATGTCGCATGACCGCGCAATTGTCATTCAAAGTGCGCCAGCGCTAAAAGCTGAAAATTGGCCTGGGCAGGAAGGAGGTATAAGTGCCCGTCATTCAACTATAGCGCGGTTGCCAAGTGGTTACATTCTGTAGTCAGTATGCCCTAGGAGTAGGTGCTGCTGTGTCGCACATTTCACAGAGCCCACCTTCTGAACTACAGAGGTGCTGGGAGGAGGAGTTTCAGGAGGCGCAGTCAGTACAGGAATCAATGATTGCAGGCAGCCAAGTACCATGGGATATGTAGTCCTTACTAATTTAGGAGACACTACAAAGCAAGCCGTTGTGAGAAAAGACGGTCGGCCTACAGGCAGCACTCAGAACATAAAAGGAGATTTTTCAAGATTGTCAATGATAATGATTGTGGTTTGCATGGTTATTACAATGCTGATGTTATAAAATGAACACGGTGTATACTGTGACCACAGAACGCCTTTACCTTGCAGCTCAGCGGTCAGCAGGAAGAATGGTAAAATGGCGCCCAAACTGCTTTTTGCCCCAACTGCCTTTTTTTTGCCCCAACTGCCTTTTTGCCCCAACTGCTTTGCCCCAACTGCCTTTTTGCCCCAACTGCCTTTTTGCCGCTCTTCAGCCGCACATGTATGCGAGGTCGTGCTGTGTGCGAATCGATGGTGTAGACGGGCCCTACGAGCCTAGCTGCAGGCTTGCATGGGAAAGGGAACTAAAACTAGAAAGTAATAAAATGTGACAACTCGCCCCGACATGACTGATGGATTGGAGAGTGAGTAAAGCTCCGTACATGAACTGGTCATACAGTACAATCTCATGGAGGGAACATATGAAGCTACAATCAGCAGTACGAGGGGTCCAGATTTGTTTTTTTTTTTATAAACCTGTCACTTTAAGGACCACTAAAGTAAAAGAAAAAAAATAAATTGCTGGTCTGCCCCCCCACCCCCGACAGGGCTACCCCCCTCTGTACAGGGCTACCCCCCTCCCTCTGTACGTGTGTGTAGGAGGATCCAGTGGGGTCTAGGATTACGGATGTGTTATATATACACCATCGTTGTTGCGGTCCAAGCTGTTGAACATGATGAGCAGACGTTTTCTCCCTCTCCTCCAGGTATCGGGTGAACTCCTCGAAGTTGAGCTGCCCATCCTGATCCGTGTCTCCCATTCGCAGGATCTCCTGAACACAGACAGAAAGATGAGAGAGGATGAGTGAAGCTGATCCATAGACACCCCAATAAAGCTGGATTTATACTCCCCATACCCAGTTAGGCCTTCAGCTTTGTTACAGAGCCGTGTGAACAGCAAGCTTTGCTGAAGCTTTTAAAGTACCATTCAGCTCCAGATTGTAAATGTTGAACACGGATCCTAATGGGAGTGCTGATTGCCACTTTAAACAAGCTGCTAGCAAGCTTTACCGAGCATTCAACAAGCGTCAAGAAGTGCTAGCAGCTTGTTTAAAGTGGCAATCAGTACTCCTGTTAGGTTCTGTGTTCAACATTAACCTCCCTAGCGGTCTGATTATGTCCGTATTTCTGTGCTCAAAGCGGTACATTTTTTTGTATGGAAATATGTTTTTTTTATCGTAGGCCTGTAATTCTTAGGAATAACTGAGCTCAGTGATGTGCGAACTTGGCACTCCATTTCAAATTTCAGTGTTTTTGGTTTGATTACATTATTGAGTTAAATGTATTATATTATTATTTTTTATTATTATTTATTATATTATAATTTAAGATTTCGTGTTTCAAGTTTTATTATATCTGGGATGTTTACAATTATTATTATTATTATACAGGATTTATATATTATTATACAGGATTTATATAGCGCCAAACAGTTTGCTCAGCGCTTTACAATATAATGGAAGCAGGGGCAGACTGACCATTTGGAAACTCAGGCACTGCCCGAGGGCCCGGGGTCAGTAGGGGGGCCCCATGAGATGCCCCTGGTACCTTTTTCATAGGCTTTTTTGAGTTTGGGCAAGGACACAGGGGCCCCATGATCTCCTATTGCCCGGGGGCCCCATGAGTTGTCAGTCCGCCCTTGAACGGGAGACAATACAGCAATGATAAAGTTCAATACAAGGGGGATAGGAGGGCCCTGATCCTTGGAGCTTACACTCTAGGAGGGAGGCTTGTTCGGACAGATTTCACTGAGTTATTGCTAAGAATTACAGGCCTACAATAAAAAAACAACAAGCAGTTAGTCAGTTCTCCCCAGTGTCAGAATGCCCATCGCAGTCCCGCTATAAGTCGCTGCCTTCTTTAAAATCCCAATATCTATACCGCCGCCATTTGTAAACACTATAACTTTCACGTAAACCAATTAATTTACACGTATTGGGATTTTTTTTTTTTTTTTTTTTATTTTAGCAAAGACGTCGCAGAATACATTATGGCCTAAATATGAAGAAATTATATTTTTTTTATTTTTTAAAAATTGCTTAATAGCAAAAAGTCAAAAAAAATGGTTTTTTTTTGGTAAAAAAAAAAAATGGTCACTTTTTGTTTATAGCGCAAAAAAAAAAATCGCAGAGGCGATCAAATACCACCGAAAGAAAGATTTTTATTAGCACGGATCACTGTATTGGTGTCACTGTGCATGTCAGTGACACCAAGTCAGTCCCCCCCCCCCCCCCCCCAGTGTCAGAATGCCCGCCACATAAGTCGCTGATCGCCGTTATTACTAGTAAAAAAAAAAAAAAAAAAAAAATCCCAGTATCTATACAGCCATTTGCAAATGCTATAACTTCTACATAAACCAATGAATTTACACGTATTGGGATTTTTTTTTTCTTTAGCAAAGACATGGAGCAGAATACATTTTGGCCTAAATGTATGAAGAAATTAGATTTTTTTTAATTTTTTAAAAATTGCTTAATAGCAAAAAGTCAAAAATAATGTTTTTTTGGTCAAAATTGTCACTTTTTGTTTATAGCACAAAAAATAAAAAATGCAGAGGTGATCAAATACCACCGAAAGAAAGCCTTTTATTAGCACTGATCACTGTATTGGTGTCACTGGGCATGTCAGTGACACCAAGTCAGTCCCCCCCCCCCCCAGTGTCAGAATGCCCGCCACATAAGTCGCTGATCGCCGCCATTACTAGTAAAAAAAAAAAAAAAAAATCCTAGTATCTATACCGCCATTTGTAAACGCTGTAACTTCCACATAAACCAATTAATTTACACATATTGGGATTTTTTTTTATTTTTTCTTTAGCAAAGACGTCGCAGAATACATTTTGGCCTAAATTTATGAAGAAAAATTAGATTTTTAAAAAAATTGCTTAATAGCAAAAAGTCAAAAATAATGTTTTTTGGTCAAAATTGTCAGTTTTTGTTTATAGCGCAAAAAAAAAAAAAAAAAAAAAACGCAGAGGCGATCAAATATCACCGAAAAGAAAGCTTTTTATTAGCATGGACCACTGTATTAGTGTCACTGGGAATGTCAGTGACACCAAGTCAGTCCCCCTCAGTGTCAGAATGCCCGCTGCATAAGTCGCTGATCGCCGCCATTACTAGTAAAAAAAAAAAAATCCCAGTATCTATACCGCCATCTGTAAACGCTATAACTTTCACGTAAACCGATTAATTTACACGTATTGGTATTTTTTTTTTAGCAAAGACATGTCGCAGAATACATTTTGGCCGAAATTTATGAAGAGAAATTAGATTTTTTAAATTTTTTAAAAATTGCTTAATAGCAAAAAGTCAAAAATAATGGTTTTTTTTGGTAAAAAATTGTCACTTTTTGTTTATAGCGCAAAAAATAAAACCGCAGAGGCGATCAAATACCACCGAAAGCTTTTTATTAGCACGGATCACTGTATTGGTGTCACTGTGCATGTCAGTGACACCAAGTCAGTCATCCCCCCCCGTGTCAGAATGCCCGCCACCACAAGTCGATGATCGCCGTTATTACTAGTAAAAAAAAAAATTCCAGTATATCTATACCGCCATTTGTAAATGCTATAACTTCTACATAAACCAATTAATTTACACGTATTGGGATTTTTTTTTTTTTTTTAGCAAAGACATGACGCAGAATACATTTTACATTTATGAAGAAATTAGATTTAAATTTTTTACAAATTCCTTAATAGCAAAAAGTCAAAAATAATGTTTTTTGGTCAAAATTGTCAGTTTTTGTTTATAGCAAAAAAAAAAAAAAAAAAAAAAAAAAAAACGCAGAGACGATCAAATACCACCAAAAGAAAGCTTCATTTGTAGGAAAAAAAGGATATAAGTTTCATTTGGGTGCAGTCTGCATGACCGCACAATTGTCAAAGTAACGCAGCGCCGTAACGCAAAAAATGGCCTGGTCAGGAAGGGGGGGGGGGGGGGGGGGGGGGGTAAATCCTCTGGAGGGCGAGTGGTTAATCCCCGATCAGTGTCTGTATTACCACTTGGCAGCCAGACAGCTTGGCGAAGAATTAAATATGACCTCCGGCTCCTCTCTGGGACTGAACTGGCTTCCTCTGATGTCACCGCACACTGTGAGCGTCTCATAATGTGCATTAGAAGCTGCAACAAGTCTGACAGCGCACTGGCACTGTGATGTAACAACGCACTGCAGAACATGAGCCCAACACCCACCAGCTCACACAATATGTGCAACAAAACGTATGCCCACCGAACAGACCCTTATGCAGGTCATAGACGGTTTATCGGCAGCATTTTCGCCCAAAAGAATAATCAGCCGATATTCACACCGTCAGTGGGGCAATGTCATCGGCCGATATTCACCGTCAGTGGGGCAATGTCATCGGCCGATATTCACACCGTCAGTGGGGCAATGTCATCGGCCGATATTCACACCGTCAGTGGGGCAATGTCATCGGCCGATATTCACACCGTCAGTGGGGCAATGTCATCGGCCGATATTCACACCGTCAGTGGGGCAATGTCATCGGCCGATATTCACACCGTCAGTGGGGCAATGTCATCGGCTGATTTTCGCGGTTCCTCATTTCTTTTATCGGTCATGCAGGAAAATTTACGAAAAATGTCCAATTTTCGTAATCATTGGTGGCAACAGAACGACCGATGTTTCCTTTTTCGGCCGAAAATTCGGCTGATAAACGAACCGTCTATGGCCTGCATTAATGCATTAACCAGTGCACAGCGAGGGGTCATTTCAGATTAAATGCTTTCATTTATTTATTTATTTCAGGTACTTATATAGCGCCATCAATGTACGCAGCGCTTTACATATATATTGTACATTCACATCAGTCCCTAACCCTCAAGGGGCGTACAATCTAAGGTCCCTAACTCACATTCATACATACACATACTAGGGACAATTTAGACAGGAGCCAATTCACCTACCAGCATGTCTTTGGAGTGTGGGAGGAAACCGGAGTTCCCGGAGGAAACCCACACAGGCACAGGGAGAACATGCAAACTCCAGGCAGGTAGTGCCATGGTTGGGATTCGAACCAACGACCCGAGTACTGCCAGGTGGAAGTGATAACCACTTAGCCACTGTGCTGCCCATTTATTTGTCGCCCAATGAGTGCAGACTGTGCTCAATCACCATCTTCCCCAGCCAGTGACACCATGACCTGGACGTGACAATTTACATGTCATTTCTGCGTCATTACCAGGGAGGGGAGAGCAGCAAACGGATGTTCACTGATCTTCATCTCCAGCAGGTGGCAGCCACCGTGCCGGTCCTGAGTCTACGGATGGACATGTGTGCAGGAGGGGGGGGGGGGGGGGGGGGGACTGGTAGTAACGGGGGTTTGTGGATACCATTGGATAGCTGCACAGCCATTGGATCAGATTTACAACCAACGGGAGCGTGTGCTCGATCGGATGGGAAGTTACGGCTATTCAAGCGTTTGCCGATTCAATGGTTATGATATAATCACACACTGATTGGATGATAAAGTTGAAGCGTGTATGGCCGCCATTAGAGGCCGAACAAATAAAAGTTTGCGGTCACTGAAGCGGTCCTGGTGGGACATCAGCCTCACAGCCACGGCAGAGAAAGGGTTACACAAAGGCCTGTGACATCAGAAAGGAACGTCTCCACTGGACACTATGGGGGGAAAGTGAGCAGAACTTTTTTTTTTTTGGTTGAACTATTTGGACTTTTGTTTTTTTTTTTCAGCCAGACTAACTATGTAGCTGTGTAAGGCAACCAATCCGCTTCTAGCTTTCATTTTGAA